ATTATATTGCTTTTATTTGTATTTATTTATTCTGTTTTCTTTCTGTTTACATTGTTTATTTACTTTTTGAGTCAGATGCCTAATTCATATGTTCTTTTTTCTTTCATGTTTATTTTTATGAATATTTGTAAGGTGGTTTATTTTCCTCTCAATATGACTTTAGCTGTATTTCATAGGTTCTGACACATCTTGGTTATTTTTTTCCTAGAAAGTCTGCAGCTTTTGTTTGTATGTTTTTTGGCCTTAAACCTCTTAAGTTGTTTAAGAGTTTTTAAAAATTTGCAGGTGAAAGAAACTTTCTGTTTTCTGATTGTTGTTAATTTCTAATTTTATTGCCTTTGACTAGAAAATGTTATATGTGCTGTTTCTAGTGTAAACCAAAAATAAAATGCTAAGCCCCCGATATGGTTGGATCTGTGGCCCACTCCACAACAACCCAATCTAGGCAGGACTTCAAATGGCCCAGATCCCTCAGGAATTGAGGTGTGGGTCATCCTACTGTTGGTACCAATTTTCTATATTAGACTGTTCTCACATTGCTATAAATAAATACCTGAGGCTGGGTAATTTATAAAGAAAAGAGTATTAATTGGCTCATGGTTCTGCAGGCTTTACAGGAAGCGTGGCACCAGCATCTGAGGAGGTCTCAGGGAGCTTTTACTCATGGTGGGAAGCGATGCAGGAGCAGGCACTTCACATGGCAAAAGCAGGAGCAAGGGATAGGGAAAGGTGCCACACACTTTTAAACAATCAGATGTCATGAGAACTCCCTCACTCATCACCAAGGGGATGGACTAAGCCTGGGATTTGCTGGGAACACAGATCCAAAACCATCTTATCCCACCACCCAACCAACTGAACAGACTCCACTCTCTTGGATAAGGGGATCTCAAGGAAATGTGACAAAAAATTAGTTCAGCCTATAAAAGGAGGTTGACTGTGCCTTGTTACACCCTCCTCCCTTTTGGAGTTTTGGCACAACTGACTAACATTGACATTAGAGATCATAAGACTGACAAAACAGACTCTTTGTAGCAATAAGATACCAGATTCCAACCTGACTCTGGTACAGCATCACATGACAGATAACAGGCCCTGAAGGACATCAAAGTGTTTTACTCCAAAATATATTTCTTTGACATATTTTGGAATGGCCCTGAAAAGCCATCTCTTGTGGGGGAAATTTGCATTCTGTAGACTGTCTCTTTCACTTACTAGATGTTTTCCAGAGAGTCTGATGCTTTTTAAAGTCTGAAAAGAGACATTTACCATCTATTCTCTCTGAGGCGTGCAATGTGGAGGCTTCATTTACATAAAAAGAACCTTGGCTGCCACAACTCAAACATTTCTTTCTGCTGACTTCAACTCTTTAGGCAACTTTTTTCTTTTCTTTTTCTTTTTTTAAATTTTGAGACGAAGTTTCTCTCTTATTGCCCAGGCTGGAGTACAATGGTGCGATCTCAGCTCACTGCAACCTCCACCTCCTGGGTCCAAGCAATTCTCCTGCCTTAGCTTCCCGAGTAGCTGGGATTACAAGCATGTGCCACCATGCCTGGCTAATTTTGTGTTTTTAGTAGCGACAGGATTTCTCCATGTTGGTTAGGCTAGTCTCGAACTCCCAACCTCAGGTGATCCGCATGCCTCGGCCTCCCAAAGTGCTGGGATTACAGGTGTGAGCCATGTCGCCCAGCCTAGGCAAATCTTAACTCTTTCTACCAATTGCCAATCAGAAAAATTTTCAACTTCATTTAGTTATGACCTGTAAGTCCCACCTTTCCTGGCTGAATGAATGTATACTTTACATAAATTGATTTTATTGATTTATGTCTTTTCCTGTAACTTTGGTCTCCCTAAAATTTTTAAAACTAAGCTGTAACCTGACCACCTTGGGCACATGTTCTCAGAACTTCTTGAGGCTGTGTCCTGGGCCATGGTCACTCATATTTGATTCAAAATAAACCTCTTCAGGCTGGGTGAGGTGGCTTACACCTGTAATCCCAGCACTTTATGGGGCAGAGGCAAGCGGATAGCTTGAGGTCAGGAGTTCAAGACCAGCCTCGGTAACATGGCGAAACCCTGTCTCTACAAAAAAAAAAAAATACAGAAATTATCTGGGCATGGTGGCATGTGCTTGTAGTCCCAGCTACTCAGGAGGCTGAGGTGGGAAGACCACTTAAGCCTGGGAGGTAGAGGTGTAGTGGTCCATGATCATGCCACTGAACTTCAGCCTGGGTGGCAGAGTGAGGCCCTGTCTCAACGAAAAAAAAGGAAAAAAAAAGAATAAACCTCTTCAAATATTTTACAGAATTTGGCTTTTTTTGGTTAACACTAGTATGTGGAATTTGTTGAGGTTTCCTTTGTGGACTTAATATATGATCAATTTTTGTGAAAGTACCATAGGTACTTAATTTTTAGGATACACAGTTTGATGTATATTAATTTAAATGTACCTTATCAATTATTTAGGTATTTCGTATCTTATTTATTCTTTGCTCCACTTAATGCTTTTCTGGTTCTTATTCTAGCTTACGTTGTATTTAAGATGATGACATCTGCTTTTTTTGCTTGTTTGCACTTGCTTAATATATCTCAGCACAAACTTCCGTTTCCAACCTTGCTGCATATATTCTTTTCAGGTGTGTATTCTGATTGCTGTATAGAGGTAGATTTTGTTTAGTGATCCAATCTGAACATCTTTTTGTTTTAATAAGTAAATTAAGCCATTTGTATTACTGATGTGACAGATATGTTGGGTTTAGCTCTGACATTCTAATTTATTTAATACTTTCTGTATTTAGAGAAGTCTTTTTGCTGTTTTTCTTTTTCTTTGCATTAGTTCTCTGGTACTTCTGACATTTAGAAAGATATTTTTGTTTTGTTCATAAAATATAATTTATAATTATAATTCTATTTAATGCCCTTAGTTCTTCATTTCAAAAATGAATAAAGTGGTGAAAAGGATTCCCTTTTCTCTGCAGCTTTGCCAGCATCTGCTATGTTTTGGCTTTTAACTAGCTATTCTGACTGGTTTAAGATGGTATCTTATTGTGATTTTGATTTATATTTCTCTAATGATCACTGATATTGGGCTTTTTTTCATATGTTTGTTGGTCATATGTATGCCGTCTTTGGAAAAGTTTCTCTTCATGGTTTTATTTTGTTTTTAATGGTTTTATTTTCTTGCATATTTGTTTGTTTCTTATAGATGCTGGATATTAGGCCTTTGTCTGATGCTTAGTTTGCAAATATTTCCTCCCATTCTGTAGGCTGTCTGATTACACTGTTGGTAGATTCTTTTGCTGTACAGAAGCTCTTAAATTTAATTAGATGCCATTTGTCAAATTTTGCTTTTGTTGTGAAGACACTTTTGGCATCTTCATCATGAAATATTTGCCCATATCTATGTCCAGAATGGTATTGCTTAGATTTTCTTCTAGGATTTTTATAGTTTGGGGATTTACATTTAAGTCTGTAATCCATCTTGACTTGATTTTTGTATATGGTATAAGGAAGGGGCCCATTTGTAATCTTCTGCATATGGCTGGTCAGTTATCTCAGCACTATTTATTGAACAGGGAGTCCTTTCCCCTATGATATTTTTCTAAAATGCCTGTGTTTCCTGTGTTCCTTTCAAATTTTGCTTTTTTCTCACTGATATTTTCCCAAGTTTCACCAGCTCAAATTTTATCTCCCCCTGAAGTCTTGCCATATCTGAGTTTATTTCTTACATTTGTTCTCTCTTCCTTCCTTCCCTTTCCTTCTCTCCCTCCCTCCCTCCCTCTCTCCCTCCCTCTCT